AATAGGAAATGAATTGGAAAACTTGTTTTGTTGAAAAAATAGAAATTATTTTTTAGAAAATGAAAATGAAAACAAGTCAAAATTTGAAAACAAAAAAGAAGTTGTTATGATCATTTTTTATGAAAACAGTTTGGAGGAAATGGAGAACTTGAAAACATTAAGGCTTTAATTTTTTTTTTTTTTGAGACAAATACCTAGGGAACCCATGTTTGAATCATTAGGTCTACAAAATAATACCTCTAAATAATACCTCTATAATGCAACTTGCTTACAAGATTGTCTTCTTTTTCTAAAAGGATTTTCACTATTCCTCTCTTTGTGAAACAAACATAAAAGTTTCAACTCCATTTTCAGGTATTTCTCTTCCCATAAACTATGATTTATTTTTTTGTTTTTGTATTTTGCATTATATTTGGTTATTTTTTATTGAATGATTTAACCATACAAACCAATGCCTGTTCATTAAACACCGATCTATCTTATTCCCTTCACAAACCTATTCTAACATAAGGTTAATAAAAAATTGGTCCATTTTCACAACAATGTAATAAAATTTCACAATCATTGACATCCCAGTAATGATTAGTATTAATTTAGTTTAACATCAACAAGAAATCCTAAAAATTCAACTCATCAAACACAATCAAAATATACTCCATCACATCGCCAATTATTGGTCCAACTCAACATACATATTATATCTAGCAAGATTATTTCCAACCAAAAAAATAAAACCTAGCAAGTATCTGTCTAAAAGACTACAAATATTTGGCAGTAAGCAAGTTATGGTTATGTTTAAATTGATCTCTAATAAATTATGGTAAAAGTTTTAATTGGATCAATATGCTAACAATTAATTACTTTGGCAGAACAATTTATTACGTCAAAAATAGTTCTTAAAGATAGAATCTTAGTCAGAATGGAGAAAAAAATCATATATCCAAAACCAATTAAATGGAGAATTTGCATAAAAGAGTTGGAATGAATTCAATTAATTATCAACTATAGAAGTTCAATCAATTATCAACCATAGAAATGTTATTACAACTGAGGAAATAGTAAAAGTTTATATTTGATCAATAATTGCTAATAGAAAAATATGATACAACAAAAAAGCTTCAAACTTTGATGCTTTTTAATCCTCCAATCTTCATTTCTAGATTAACTCTAATATGATACTTATTTATACCATTGTATGATTAGAATGGTTAAGCTAGTCTTCACTAGTTACTTATCCAATTTATGGTATAAATTATTAAACTGATGTTGAGCAAATTATTATCTATACTAATGTATGACAAAAAGAAAGGCTGAGCTGAACTATAATCTTCCGCTCTCCCTTCCTAGATTAACTCCCACACAAAACGTTTGTTGGATGACCTAATACCAAGTTTAAACCAAATTTTTATAGTTTTATTGCCAAACTGGAGTCATTTAAAAGCAAACAATGTTCTAGGATCCAAATCATATCATGTGAAATCCAAATAAATTTTTTTAGAACAAAAATTATAATTGAGATGTGGAATGACAAAAAGTAAGGAAAGTAAGGATATAAGGAGCAATATTTGGTGGTACAACATTTTGCCCATATCTATAAAAGAAAAAAGGCCAAAAAATTAGTTTAATTTCCAAAAATCTGGCACAAAATCATACCATAGATTAAAAATAAAAACACTAATCATGTAGTTTTACAGAACATTAAGGAAGCATGACATTAAACAGAAACTTGCTATGTACAATCTTCAACCAAGTTAATTGTAATATTTGGTTTCCAATAAGCAATCCATTTGACAAGGACATCATCTTTATTGTCACTTCAACATTATCAACCACATGAAACAACATGATTCTGTGCTAAGATCATTATATTGTTGTAAAATTCAAGAAATTGGAAGGGCATAAAAAAATAGAAATACATGAGATGTTGTCATAATGAATATTAAATGAAAACAAATTTTCATTATAAATAGTATTGATGATTAACTTGTATTATAAATAGTATTTAGATATTTATTATGATATATTTCCTTTAGTTTTATTAATTCCTTTAAGTTTGGAGTTGCTTATGTTTTACAAAATTTCATTGTTTTCTTGATAATTGACTTGTATTATAAATAGTACTTAGATGGAAGGGAAAGGTAAAGATGTTGATGATGTGAAATATTAGCCAAAAGCAAATAAGAAAGCATTTATTCATCTCTTAATTAAAAAAGTAAAAGAAGAAAAACTGCAATCATATACATTTAAGAAATAAGTATGGTCAGAGATAAATAATGAGTTGCATGATACAATTGGAGTAGATTATGGCATTGAAAGATTGAAGGGTAAGTTCAATCGATTACGTGCAAAGTATCATCATTTTTTTGAATTAATTAGACATACTAAAGTTAAATGGGATGTGACATCCAACATTATTAATGCAACACAACAAGTTTGGGAAGATTTTTTAAGGTATAATTAACTCATATTTTCCTTTTATCTTAGAAATTATAATATATATTTATTTATCTTATGCATTTGTTTTTTTATGGCACAGAAAAATAAAGATTTCAAAAAGTTCAAAAAACAAGGTTGTGCATATTATGAATTGCTTGGTAAAATATTCAACACAACAATTGCAATCGAAAAACTTCAACAATTATCCATTAAAGATCCATTATCTCCCACTGAAGAAAGGTGCTTGGAAGAAGAATTTTTATTTGGTACTATGTATGTTGATTTAGGTAACAACAATTTAGAAGATTTTAAAGGGTTAAAAAGGTAAAATGCATAATATTTATTCAATTCCTAGTGAGCGTTGATTTAGCAAAGTGAATAAAATGGATAAGATAGATTTATTTTTGGAAAGTGGGCTACTACATTGAGTGTAAAAGAAGAAGCTGTTAAATCAAAAGCTGAGAGATACAAATCATCTCCTATTAGTGGAAGTACTACTTTTGATTTTAGATATGATCCTTATTTTACAAGTATATGCATAGGCCTTTTTGAAAAAAATGAAAGGTGTTTCTTTGTGTTTATATAATAAAGCAATTAAAATATTCACATAAGTAGAATGGAGACAAATTTTTGTTGAAATGTCCTATGTGAAGCAAAAAGATTTGGTGGATAGTCTTGCTTAGACTCTATTTTCTTTTTAACTTTTCAATAATTGATTTCTATTTTTATGTTATGTAATAATATTCTAACATTTAAATGTGGAATGTACAAAGTATATGATGATATTTTATGATTATATTATGGAATTTATGGTTGTTGAATGACTGATAAATTTTTTTTACTTTGTTATAGTAACTAAAATTGTTATAGCAAATATAATGCATTAATAGAACATTGATATTCGTCATTTTTATAGGTAATTACAATGAGTATTAACTCTAGTTCAGAAAAGTTTGTCCAATTTAGATGATGAAATGGGGCAATTTATACTTATAAATTTTATTTGAGTATTACAAGGCCAATTTGCATAAAATGCCATGTAGGACTTCTTTATTTAGTGGAAAGGCATATGTTATAGAGATTTTATAGGGAAACCCTATGATATGTTATGAAATGTTTCGTATGAAAAAATATGTATTTTTAAATTTTTGTGATAGGTTAAAAGTGGAACATCTTTTACAAAATGAAAAATTAGTTTTTGTGAAAAAAGTAGTTGCAATGTTTTTATATATAATAAGTCAAAATAAGACACAAAGAGTTATAGCTTATCGATTTCAACATTCAATTGAAACCGTTTTTGCATGGTTTGAAAAATAGTTAATTAGGAACTAAAATTATTTGTCCTACAAATCAAGGTGAGGTTCAACTAGAAATTGCTAGATATCCTAAATGGTTCCCATATTTCAATGTATGTTATATATAATACTATTTTTATATATTTTTTTATCTTTTTTTGAATTTTTTATGTAGAATAACATAATTTATATGTCTATTTATTTTTATTAATTAAGGATTGTATTGGAGCTATTAATGGCACTAAAATATCTATTTGGGCTCCCGCATTGAAGCAAGTATCATTTCAAAATAAAAAGCAAAATATGTCATAAAATGTAATGGTAGCTTGCTTTCATGACATGTTTTTTACATTTGTGTGTGCTGGATGGGAAGGAATTGCTTATGAGATAAAAGTTTTTGTTAATGCGATGCTAAGTAATTCAATTGCATAAAATTCTTTTCCAATGCTGAGTGCTAATGTGTTTTAATTAATATAATTATTTCTAAGAACTACTTAATTGGTTAATGTTGTTTATGTAATTTTCATATTTCATATGATATTGTAGGTAAATATTATGTAATGGATGCTGGATATCCAAACATACCTAGATTTTGAACGCCATTTCGTAGACAAAGATATCATGCATGAGACATTATAAGTAGGCATCAACCAAGGGCAAAGGAATAATTATTTAATATGAGGCATTCTTCTATTCGTAATGTGATTAAACGAAGATCGTAGTGCAGAAAAGAAAAAGATCTGTCATATTAAGGGATATGCCTTACTATCCTTTTAGAAAACAATATCATATACCAAAAGCATATTGTATTATACATAATTTCATTATATTGAAAGCCAAAAAAAATGAATTGTTTGAAGAGGGTGAAAAAAAAACATGCAGAAATTTGATAACACAAAAACAACTTTTACAATTTCGAACAATGAACAAATTATATTTAATATGTCACAAGTATCTGAAAAGGTTTAAGTTAGAGAAGAGATTGTTACATTTTTATGGAATAGTTATAAGCAAAATTGAGATTTCAAAAACTATAACAATTAAGAGGTGATGTTACTTGTCCAATATTAAAATAAAATTTTATTTTTTTATTAACATTATGAATTGATTTTTATTTTTATTTTTTATTTATTTTATTAGAATTTGCTTTTATTATTTAATTATATTTTTTAAAAGATGCAATTTACTTAATTATTATTTTTATATTTTTATTTTAAAAATAAACATACCAATCACATTTTTATAATTTTTATTTTTGAAGACAAATTTCACTTTGTGTAATAAACATGTGCATTAAAATTCAAAAAATTGAAAAAAAAAAAAATGAAAACGAAAAATATTTTGAATAATAGCAGCCTTAAGTCTCCTTTCGTTTCATCAGGTATTCTCGGTTTCTTTATCATCTCATTTCTCCCGAATTGTCTCTCCTAAATATTCGATCCGATTAAAATTAAATTCAAATTTGATAGTATTTTTTAATAATCAAATATTAATTATTATTGTTCGATGTGAAAATGCCTGCGACGGATTATCAAGGAAGTTCGGCACCGTCGACAAGTATCGGGCGTTCGTTTTTATCCCTGTGGGATCAGGTACATGCGATGGAATCGCCGAACGATGGATCGGCCTCGCAAGAAGTGGAGCTGGAGTCGTTTCAAAGGCAAGTAGCTGACCGATTTCACGATTTATCTTCTGTTCCTTCTGATGAATTGCTTTCTCTTCCATGGGTTCGGAAACTGCTTGACGTTTTCCTTTGTTGTCAAGAGGAATTTCGGATCATCCTTTTTAACAATAAAGCTCATGTGATGAAACCTCCCATGGACCGTTTGATTGCCGATTTTTACGAGCGTACTGTTAAGGCGCTTGATGTTTGTAACGCGATTCGTGACGGAATTGAACAGATCAGGCAATGGCAGAAGCTTCTAGAAATCGTGCTTTGCGCTTTGGGTGATCGTAATGTTAATAATAATACGAATAATAATGATAACAATAATTGTTATCAGAGAGCCCTAGGAGAAGGGCAATTTCGTCGTGCGAAAAAGGCCTTGATAGATTTAGCAATTGGGATGCTTGATGAGAAAGATTCCGGTCAAGCTTTGGCTCATAGGAATCGTTCCTTTGGAAGAAACAGTAATAGCAACAGTCACTTCAAGGATCATCACCATCGTTCTTTAGGGCATTTCAGGTCGTTGTCTTGGAGCGTTTCGAGGTCTTGGTCTGCTGCTAGACAGCTCCAGGCAATTGGGAACAACTTGGCTATGCCACGAGGGAATGAGGTTGTGGCTACCAATGGACTTGCAATGCCTGTTTACACAATGGGTTGTGTTTTGTTGTTTGTAATGTGGGCTTTGGTGGCTGCAATTCCATGCCAGGATCGTGGTTTGCAAGTTCATGTTTATGTGCCAAGGCAGTTGTCATGGGCGGCTCCAATACTTTCGTTGCACGAGAGGATTATGGAGGAGTCAAAGAAGAGGGATAGGAAAAATGCTTGTGGGTTGTTGAGGGAGATTTATCAGATGGAGAAGTGTTCGCGGTTGTTGGGTGAACTTGCTGATTATGTGGAGTTTCCGTTGAGTGAGGAGAAGGAAGGGGAGGTTAGGCAGAGAGTGAAGGAATTGGGGCAGGTTTATGATGTAATGAAGGAAGGTTTAGAGCCGCTGGAGAGGCAGGTTAGGGAGGTGTTTCATAGGATTGTTCGTAGCCGAACTGAAGGGCTTGACTCTTTGGGAAGGGGACACAATTCTGAATAAAATGTCTTTTTGGGTTGCGATGATTCAAATTGTAAATGTCAAATGTGCAACTTGCAAATGTGTTTTGATTTTGGCTTTGAGGGAACTCGACAATCATGAAGAAGGAGAAAAAATGTGAAGAATGATCTGAGGCATGCGACACGAAAATAAGAAAGGGTAAGGTGGAAAAACAAAAAAGATTTTCTTGTATTTATCACCATATATCAGTGTAAAGGAAGTAGGATAGGGAGTTTTACCTTCCGTCTTGTTGCTGATGTCCAGCTTTGTGTTGTTTTTATATAATCTGGTTTCTGAGTAAATTTGCATCTTGGTTCTAGTTGATTTTGTGTTCAAAGTTTGTCTTCTTGTCGCTGGTATATACTTTTTGTGCGTCTTTGTTAATATTCTGCATTTTAGATGCAATAATAAGATGAATAATAGTGAATAAGAGAGCTCATTTTGTTGCTAAGTTTTATGGACAAAGTTGTTACCAACGGATGGAATGCAAATATTTTGTATGATGGTTTCTTGGATGAAGAAAATATCTTTTTGCTCTGTTGGGCTTTGTAACTAGAATACTCCTTGACTGGTCCAAGGAAATCTGATCTGTACCAGCAAATGTCTAGTACTGGGTAGCGGAGAACACCAATAGATTTGTTATTGCTTTTATTTCCTTTTCGGTTGTTCAACAAGTGTTTGCAAGCATCTGTATAAATAATTTCATTCTCATTGATTGATGTCTTTGTCCTTGGGATTTTATGAAAGATTTTTGTCACTTGCTTTTTTCAAAGAAAAACTTTGCCAACCTGTTATATCATGCAAATCATACCAAGAAGCTCTGTGCTTTACCCTGCCCTCGTCTTTTGTGCTTCAAAAAACTGTCTGTTGATTCCCAGCTTGCTGTGAGAGGGAAGATAATGAAGATATTAAGATAATTGATCTCCTTTAAAATTCTTATTCTTGTGCAATTGAGCTAAGCATGGATTCTGAATTGGACCTTTGCTGGAATGCCCCACTGTTGTGGATCTCTTAAGCGTATTAATTTTCTCTACCTGCATTATGCTAGCGAAGAAAGCATTGAAGGGTTAAGAGATTTGGATTGACATCAAGGCTGTGCGCATTAGATGAAGTGTTGTTCCTTTTTATTTTTTAATATTAAGGATTAATTATGCAACTGTTATGTGTTCAATATGATTGCTTCAGTGTAAGCTTCCTGTGTCCCCTATACCACAGTTTCTTGCCGCATATTTAAGCGTAGCAATCTCTCCCTCTTTGCAAGCAGATTTTTATTGTTCTTGCTGGTATTGCAAAATGCAGCTAGGTTCTATCATCTCCTGTTTAATAGAAATGTGGCAATGACCAGCTTCAAAGAAGCGACTGATGAATTTCTGGATGTGGATTATAGAGGTATGTATAGATGTTGAAGCTACTTTTAAGCACAGCGACAAATGCAACATGTCAGAATTCATACACGGGGTTGTTTAATTCACTAGCAAACGAGCACATTTGATTTATTGGACCAAACTTTTCCCATGAAAATAAATAAAAAATTCTCTTTAGTTGGACTCTAATGCACTTCAATATGTAAATGTTTTCTAGCTAACAGCCACAAACTCTTCTCAGCTTATAAATCGAACTGCTGTGGTTTGTTTATGGTCAGTTTATGTAGAGATCCGTACTCAATTTTTGAGATGCTTATTTTTATTTGAAGATCTCATGTTTTGTCTTACAAAATGTGCTTTAAAAGTTTGATTTAAATCTCAATTTGTTTAACATTTCGATATGAGATTAGGATGATACAAATTCCTTTCATTAAAGTTTAATGTTCTTCTTAAGTCAGCATAAAGCATATATAAAATCACAAAAGTGTACACATAAAACTAAAATTAGACCAGACGTTGAGAATTTAGAAATGATTTTCATAGTATAGTATTTAGCGCTCTTAAAATTCTAAAGGTGACTTTCAAAATGCAATACTTAACTCTCATTCGATTGATAATCGCTCGAATATTATTTATAGATTTGTACCCAACTTGTAAAATATTGTTTATTTTGATTTTAAAATTTTATAATTTTATCTTATAAAAGTGTTTTATAAATTTAGAATTAAATTTTAATTTATATATTATAATAAATTTTTAGAACATCCCGACGTGTAATTGAAATGTCATGGTTTATACATTTTTAGAAGAGCTTGTAATTCCATTTGTGTATTTTTTATGATAAATGTTACTATTGTTATTATTGTTAACTCGGAGCATTTAGCTCTACTCGCTTATGGCTGCTAATTAATGTGAATAGGCAAGTCGATTGTATGGTTCAGACATCAATTCCCCATATTCTCTCTCATGACAACCTCTATCACTATTATTGAAGGAAACCTCAGGGACTTGCTTCACTGCCCCATTTCTTGATATATGCTGCAGTGGCATGGCTGGTTGAATATAACAACTCCAGACTCAGGAGGAAGCGAATTTAACCCTTTGCTACCTACCAAAAGGATTGGAGAGGCTGTCACAACAGTCGGTCGTTACAACACCTCAATGGCTGTCATAAACTCCCAACTTTAATTACTACAAGCTTCTGCTTTTTGTTTATTGGGTGGCAATTTAAGTGAGCTTATTTATGTGCACTCTCAAGAATATCTGTAGTAGCCAAGTCAGCTATTTTAAGTCATTATGCATTTCATCTGAAAATGACTGGCTATAAAGTGACATGGGAAAAACCCACTTATCCCCCATATGCTTTTGAAGTTTTTACAAGTTGAAAAAGATTATTAAACAGAAATGTCTCATTGCATTAATCAAATTCATTTCTTTGAATTTATTACTGTATCTGCTTCATTTACTAGTGCAGATTGTCTCACTTAATTGCATTAGACTACATGAAGCATTAGTATGTCCTAAAATCTTACCTACTTTTAGCTCTGCAACCTAACTGCTTCGTTGAAGCTTTTGTAGAATTAAAGCGAAGTGTTGTCCGACTGAAATTATTTAATCACCCAATATTTTAGAACTGGGTTTCAGTTTTTGGATCTTTAAAACCCTTCTATTAGGAAAAAAAAATTGTTCTGCTCTATGTTTAGCCTTTTAAGCGTTGACACTCAAAAGACGCTTTAAAGCACTGAGATTAATGTTACCGGAGGGGCCTCAAATTGGGGCCATTTCTAATTAGATAATTTTGCTAATAATAATAAAAATGTGCGGCTTTCTTTTCAATTGATCTAACACATAGCATTCCTACTGGCTCGCAGCTTACTGCAAAATACAAAAAATGTGCTGCGACTGAAACTTATCAATCTACTGTGCTTTCACGCTCGAAAGGTTAATTGTCATACTATATATATATATATATATATATATATATATATATATATATTCTTAGACCATCATTAGAGACGGATCCAAAATTTTTTTAGTGGAGACAAATTTATATATATTTATTTAAATATCTTTTAATGCAAAGATAATGTTTTTTAAATATAAAATGAACTTTTTAATAAAAGAATTTAAAATATTTTTTATAATATCAAATATATAAAAAATTTAAATAAAAATTAACACAAATATAATAAAAACTTATAATATTAAATATATCAAATATTTAAATATCAAATAAACACAAACACATAATATTATTATTTCTCAAATGAAAATAGCATTATATAATTGAGTTGAATAGTTTTCACAGGTAGAAAATGTAAGATTTTCCTTTTCATTGTCAATATTAAAATATATATATCTTTATTAGATTTCGAATATTTTCTTTAAAATTTACTTTCTCTTATTAATGATATTTGTCTTTAATTAATTTAAATCAAATACTAATTTTATTTCTCTATATTTATAAGACATAAGATAAGATATGAAAATGCAAAATAAGACCAACAACATGATTCTTTTATATATATTTTAACTTTTTGAATAATTTAAAAATTGATGTTAGTTTTTTTTCTAAATTTTTTGATTTTGTTAAATTACATCTCTACAACTTTGTTAGAATATATCTCTACAACGTTATTTTACATCAAATATATATTATTAAAAATTCTAAATATTATTAAATAAATACCTTATCACATAATCAATATATAAGAAAAACAACAAGAGAAGAAAGTACTTTGATATGTAAAAAATGAATTTTTATATTATGAGTATTTTGTTATAGTTTTATTTTAGCTTTAATTGCATTTTTTTCTTTTATACAAATATTTTATCACTTTATACTTGACTTGGACATTTTAACAATAATATTTCACATAAGCTAAAAAATGAAGTCTGCAAAATGAAAAAAAAGGAGAATAAGAGGCGAAAGAGAGTAAAGTAATACTAAGTTGTAACTTAAATTAACCTAGAGTGAGACTTATATAAAATAATTATTTATGAGCTAAAATTTATTAATATTTATATATAATACTTCATTTTCTTTTGAAATGAGTCAAATTTTTTTATTAAAGTATGTCTATACTTTATAATATTTTTAAATCCCTTCCCTTTATATTTTTTTCTCTTTCAATTTAGTAGCGACAAAATGTAAACAAATTAAAACTTTTGTCTAATATCATAATATGCTTAAAAAGGGTTTTAGGATTTTAATGGAGGCAGTTGCTCCCACTGATCCTAGTGTAAATTTGTCCTTACCTATTATTAGACGTAACCTGAAAAGTTACCACCAATCTTTTTTATCAAAGTGCGATTAACCATATAGTTAAATCTGTTTCACTTTAAAGATAAGTTTCAAGCTTGACTTAGGTATATTTAAAATATAGATTATAGTCTACGAAATCAAAATTAGATCCGGGAGTGCGGTTACGTGTGAGGGATGTTATAATACTTTCACAACACCTATTCAAATGATAGTACTAGCTAAATTTAGTGTTATCCAAAGCTTTAAAAATATATTTGTATTTTACTGAATAATTTAATTATTGGGAACTACTTAATTGACTCCAATATTTTGGCCAATAAATTAAAAGAATCCCATCACCTCAAGAGTATACAAAAAAAAATTATTTCTCTTATAAAGGCTCTATTGTTGGATTATTTAATATGTGTCTTATCAAAATTCATGAATTTCATAAAAATTTAATTTCAAGGAAAAATTCAGATTTCAACTCCTTCCTTAGAAATGTTTAAATAGGAAAATTGATATGTCAACTTTTTCCCAAAAAAAATCTTTGAAAAATATTTAAACAAGAAAATTGATATTTCAACTTTTCTTCTTATTTTTTTGAAAAATATTTAAATAAGAAAATTGATATTTCAACTTTTCCTCTTATTTTTGAAAAAAATCTAAATAGAAAAATTGATACTTCAACTTTTTCTTTTATTTTAAAAATGGTTTTGTTTCAAGGGAAATTTGATATTTCAACTTTTTTCTTGAATTCTTAGAAAATTTTATTCTAAGGAAAAATTAATATTTTAGCTTTTTCCTTAAATTTTTTCTTTGAAATTTTCTTGAAAAAAAATAGTATTTTAACTTTTTCTTTAAAGTTTTATTCAATTTAAGGAAAAATTGGTATTCCAACTTTTTCCTCAAATTTATAAAAAAAGTAATAATTTTTAAGGAAAAATTGATAATTCAACTTTTTTCTAAATCTTTTAAAATTTGTTTTTACAGGAAAGATTGACATTTCAACTATTGCCTCACAACTTTTGAAATTATTCTAAAGGAAAATTTGATATTTCAACTATTCCCTTTAATTTTAAAAAATATTTTTATATAAGGAAAGCTTTTTTATTTAAGAAAAAATTAATATTTTAACTTTTTCCTTAGATTTTTGAAATTGATATTTTTTATTTAAGGAAAAATTGATATTTCAACTTTTTCCTCAATTTTTTTAAAAATTTATCTTGAGGAAAAATTAATATTCTAACTTTCTTCTATTTTCAAATTTTCTTATTTAAAGATATTTTAACTTTCCTAAAAAAAAATTTTTTGAAGAGAAAAACTTATTCTAAATTAAATTAAATAATTAAATGAATAAATAATAATAATTTAACAAATAAGGGAAAAAAGAAAATAAATAAATATAGAAAATAATAAATAAATGAAAAAAATATATACCTTGGCACAGCTCTACTTGCTTCGCTTGGGATGGGTGGCTGTAGGTATAGAGGAGTGGCTCGAATGATCGGCTAGGCTATATGATCAGCTTGGCTTGAGCTTTCAATAGAAAACAAAGGGTTACTAGGTTGTGCGGCAAGGGTTAGGTCTTCAAACGGGGCGATG